CTCTCAGTCACCTCCAGGGAAGCAGGTTTTGACTGTGTAGTTTAGAACAATTGGTACTTAGCAGCTGTGTGACTTGATGAAAATTGGTTACTCTCTTAGGTCTCAGTTTACCCCCTGAGAGGAAGGGTTATTATAGTCTCTTTCTCAGTAATCAGAGCCTGGAAGGACAGAAGCATCTGCACCTCATATGAGTGACTTTGGGTAATACTCTCTATCTTGTTATATAATTTACTGATTTCAAATCTACATTTCAAAATATTTTATTGTGAAGGTATATAACCTGTGTATTAATGGGAATGAAGAACAGAGACAAAAGGAGAGGAAGGGCAAAGAGGAGGGCCCTATCTTCAGGACACTTTTGTTTTGCCATTTTTACACAGTAAAAATAAACACTTGAAAAGTTTTACCTGGGTCCCAAAATTCAAACTAATTTTGACCCAGGGAGTAAGTGGTAAAATTCTTCAAGTTTTCTGAGTTTCCACATTCCTAATATAATATGAAATTTTAAAAAATCTGATAATTTTAGGTCCTTTCCAAAATATACTTGGAATTTCAATAGAGAGTATTTTTTATTTGGTATCATTGATCACATTGTTGGGCCTTGGCCCTGCTTGGAAGAACATTTTCAACCTTTTCTCCTCATTCTCTTATCCGATGAACCAGTGTTAAAGGAGAGAAGGAAGCAACATGTATGAGCATCTGTAGGTGCCACACTGGTCATTCTCATATGCTGAATTTTAAGTATTTAGTGTGTGCCCTGTGCAACTATAGCCCGTTACACAGTCAGCAAGCATCATTGTGAAGCTAAAACCCTGCTATCAAGGAGGTAAGGTGCCTATTCACCTCATTCAGTCTATTCTGTCTGACAGAATTGGTACTGTCTCATCCAGTATGCTTTTGAACTTGCTTGGGGTCGTTTGCTCCATTTATCTGTGTGGCTCACTCCTGTACCTCACCAAGGTCTTGCAAAGGGGGTGTGCTTTTCAAACACTATCCCAGAAATGGCACACACCACTCTGCCTACATTTCACTTCATCACAGATAAGGTGGTCAGACACAGCCCCAACAGGAGGAGTGGGAGATGCAATTCTACCACGTGCTGCAGTATTTGGTGAATAGGACCAATGGCCACCATAATCTGTATCTAGCTGCCAAATATTGTCTCTCTCCTACATCAGGGGAGACACATCCTACCCTTCTTCAAATGAGGCAACCCAAAAGGCCCACCCAGCCCCAGCCCCAAGCTCAAGGTTTTGTGTATGTGTGCTGGTATCCACATTAATTCACATGGTTTTCCTTGGTCCACTGACTTCTAAACTAAAAAGAAAAGCTATTTTACCTATCCCCAGTAGGTAGTATACCTACAGTGATGGAGAAGAGCCAGGATAATCACAATCAACCCACTGGTTTGCAGCAATTCTGAGACCCTACTTGACAGATCAATCCTAAGTGGGCTCTGTTCCCTGGGAAGAAAGCATCCTCTTTGATTAAACTTTAATTCTGCTTCCAGGGTAGGGCTCCAAAGGACACTTCTCCCTGGCTCTTGACTCCACTGTTTAAGAGTTTATTCTTTTTCCACTAACTGCTTTGGTCATGGGAAAGTGGGCATTGGAGAAGAAGCCCCCATTAAGATCTAATCAGCTTTTCCAGGCCACAATCTGCCCTTTATAGATAGGAATGCAAAAGTACATCTTAGTTTCAAATAGTCACAGATGTCTCTTCCTGACTTGATGGTCCTTTGACAGTAGAACTCTCATAAACCTAGCCAGCTTCTTTACCTATTAGAATGTGCATAGCCATATTCACATATCTTTTGTCAACACAATTCTAGGATCCACTAAGTGTCTTTGCTTTTGCATGCCACTGCCTCTCCCACCCTTTTGTTTTCAAATGGACTCTTCTTACTCTTTCTCTTAAATTAAGTACAGGTGCCTTGGAAGAGTTACACTTTGGTCTCTTATCCTGAAGCCACATTTATACAATTAAAGATTTTATAGGGTGACAACCTAATCCATTTAGGGATTTTTAGCTGTGGGTCTGATTATTTCTGCAAAGCTGAGTTTCAATAGGCTTTTAACTCTCTAGGCATTTCTTGATATGATTTGCTGAGGGGGATTAGGAGCGGTTGCCTGTTCTAAACCTGCAAGAACCTATGTTTGCTTTATCTTTCTTTTCTCTTTCATAACTGCTTTCCAACTGGCCAATTATCTTCTGAGATAATTTCTTTCTTATGTTAACTTACCAAGCACAGTCAATAGCGGCAAACACATTCTAATTAATGTTCCTTTTCCAACCTTTGCCCAAAGAGCTATGCACTCATTAGACATGCTCTGCCTTATTGCAGGTGTCAACTTTGACAAACATTTCACCCATGTGTGACATGAGCCACCTTGCTTCCAGTCCCAAGCCAACACTACGTGTTATAGATTTGTTTCAGCATTCTTTTTTAATACACTGATTTTTTTATTTCCTTTTATTTTTATTGAGATAAAATTGACATTTAACATAATATTAGTTTCAGATATACAAATAATGATTTAATTTACGTATATATTGTAAAATGGTCACCATGATAAGTCTAGTTAGAAATATTTTTTCTTGTGATGAGAGATTTTAAGATCTACTCTTAGTGACTTTTGATTATACAATACAGTATTGTCAACCATAGTCACAGTGCAATACATTACATCCTGGGACTTATTCATTTTATAATGGGAAGTTTGTACTTTTTGATTCCCCCCACCTCTTCTCCCACTTCTCGGTCTCCACCCCTGGAATCCACCAGTCTGTTCTCTGTATCCATGACTTCAGTTTTTTGTTTTATTTTTTTTAGTTTCCACATATAAGTGAGATCATAGGTATTTGTCTTTCATTATCTGATTTATTTTACTTGTTCCAGCACTGTTTGAAACCCCTTTCTATTTATTTATTTTTAAAGATTTATTTATTTTTAGAAAGAGAGAGAAAGCACATGCACGAGTGGGGGAAGGGGCAGAGGGAGAGGAAGAGGGAGAGAATCCCAAGCAGACTCCTCACTTCTCAGGACCCTGAAATCATGACCTGAGCTGAAAACAAGAATTGGGCACTTAACTGAGTCATTCAGGTGCCCCCAAACCCATTTTAAAATTAGTCAATATACAACAGGAAATAACACACATGTATACACACACACACAAACTTCCTCTTTGTTTCTCTCTCTCTGTACAATTCCAAGGTCAGAGTCTGTTAATGAGAGACACGTGCAAAGTTCTGGAAGGTGATAATGAGACAGGCTATTATCCCCCAAAGGCATGTTTAGGCAGACACATGGACAGAGGGGAGGACTTGCACTGGGCCCCTCTGGATGTTGAGATTTCATTCAACTCTGGAAGCTCCCACAATAACCTGCCCCCAGCTTCTGCTTCCCTGGTATTTGCTCCTGCAGCTGGTCAAATGCTTAAGCAAGACTCAGATTCCCTATACATAATTCTTTCCACATTAAAAACTTGGATGTTTTTTGTCTTTTCTAGCTGGAATCCTAACTGACAGACCGACTTCATTTTTCTGGTTGCTACGTGTGACCATCAAACTTGCTGTTTTTTCATCTTAATTGTATGTTTAATTCCCAGACTAAAATATAAGCTCCATGAAGGGAGTGAGTTTTCTTGTCGGGCCAGTGCTGGGTCTTCAGTGGTTTGCAGGGCATGGCATACTCAGTGCAGCAAAGAGATGATAAATGAATGGATCAGTTAATAAAAATCAGGATCTGGTCAGTTGAATTAACTTGATAAATGAATGGATCAGTTAATAAAAATCAGGATCTGGTCAGTTGAATTAACTACCTCAGAAAGGTTCTTTAACTAGAAACTCGATGGTAGGGATAAATGTGGGATTTATTGACAATTACTGAACCCACACTCTGTAATAGTAATTCATTATTATATCTAATATGTAAATGAAACTGAAAGGTATAAAAATCTCTAACAGTCTGCTTTTAGATCCACTTTACTATGGGCCTAATTGATGATAATCCTTTAAACTGTGTTTAGGGGAAGGGCCTCTGAAGTGGTCCAGTCTCTGAATATTTCTTTTACTTTTTTTTAAGATTTTATTTATTTACTTGAGAGAGAGAGAGAGAGCACAGAGGGAGAAGGAGAAGCAGGCTCCCTGCTGAACAGAGAGCCCCATGTGGGGCTCGATCCCAGGACCCTGAGATCAGGACCAGAGCCAAAAGTAGACGCTCAACCGACTGAGGCACCCAGGTGTCCCTCGGGACATTTATTTAGGTCTCTTGGTGAAATTAGTCCTATTCCACATCTAATGGTTGCAGCAAAGCTTTATTCTGTGCTGGGAATACCAAAAGGTTTCCAGTTACAGAGGTCGTGTGACCTCTGTAACAACAGCCTTCTGTTGAATCAGCATTTGGCTTGGGTGTCTGTTACCTTTATAGTTCTTTGTTGTTGCTTGTTTCTTACTTTTCTTTTTGATTTAGATTGTGTTGTTTGATAAGGCTTTTAAGTGAAAATGATCGTTATTATATAAGCTAATACTGTATGGATCTATGCCAGACATTAAGGGTTTTTCATGTAATCATTTCCTTTCTTCTTTATAACCCATTTAGGAGGTGGGCATTCCACCCATTGTACAGATTAGAATGAGGCTTCAATAGGTAATATTACCTGTTAAAGCTTGGACTTGTGAATGCAGGGGGATCTGATTCTGTGCTTTGAATTATAGTCCACTACCACTTGACCCCTTATCACATTTTATGTGTTTATTACAATTTAAGACTTACAGAATCTTTTGTACATATGTTATCACATTATTGACTAATAATACTGGTTATCATTTGTTAAAATGTTTACCATGTTGAGCCATGCACTATACTAAGCTCTAACAGAAAGGGACATGGGGGTTAAGGAGGTAAACATGGAGGAAACCCAAACTTTTGACAAAGAAAATGAAACATACGGAAAATTCATTAATAGAACCACTTTGTCTCTCCTTTTGCTCTGTTTCAGGAATACCAAATTGACATATTTTTTGCTCAGACCTGGACAGACAGTCGCCTTCGATTCAACAGTACTATGAAAATACTCACTCTGAACAGCAACATGGTGGGATTAATATGGATTCCAGACACAATCTTCCGTAATTCTAAAACTGCAGAGGCTCACTGGATCACCACCCCCAATCAGCTACTCAGAATTTGGAATGATGGGAAAATCCTTTATACTTTAAGGTGAGATGTTGGTGGATTTTTAATCACTGATGGGCTGATAATTTAGATCATTGTAGAGATGGGACCCTATTTTCATTTCTGCGTTCTGTCACTTCTCAAGTTTGACATGCTACAGCATCCTGAAAAAGTTTGTCCTAATGCCACTATGTGTGAAAATAAAGGCATACAAATGATCTACAATGAATATAAACTCATTCCTTCATCAGAACCCATTTCTGCTGGAACTGGACTATGCAATTATCTTTAATATATTTAACCCATGGGTCCACTCAGCTAAGAAAATAAAGATATCTTGGTGTACCAATTAACAAATGTAATCATAGCCAAATTTAAGACTACAGGAAAAAAAGAGCACAGAAGGTATTCCCCAATGCATCCCTAATGGAAGTGGCAGCTACAGTGTAATAAGACTTCCTGTGGGCCAGGCAGTCCTTACAAAGCTGGGCAAGGTAAGAGAAACTGCACTTCAAAGAAGTGAACTGACTTGCCTGTCCAAAGTCACCACTGGGAACTAGTGTTATCAGAGTTTGAACCTGTGTCTGTATCTCTCAGAAGTCTTTCCACTAGCGTGGCCCAAGTCTAACTGAACACCCAGCTGTAACATACCACAGGAATGCCCTGCACCTTGGCCAGCCTTTCTGTTTGGATAGCATTAGGATCAGGACAGTACCCTCCAGACACTGTTGTCCCCACTGCCCGCCATCCCTTAGGAACACTATATGTGCTCACTCCCTTCTAACACTTTCTCTCACCACCTTTGCAGCACCATGGCTCCTCTCTATGTCTCCTGCTTCTGCTTTTGTGCGGTCTTTTCTCCCACTGTTCTTTCTGGCTCGGGACTTCCTCATTACTTCACTCACTTTCTTCCCTCCTGCTGACTTAGTTCATCCATTCCCACATCTATGCTGAGGCTTCCCACATGCCTACCTCCAACCCAGAACTTCCCTTCTGGACTCCAGATGCTTGGAGCCACCTGCCTATGGGATGTCTCCCCCTGAGGGTCTGAAAGGCATTGCAAATTCAGCATGCCTCAGGAGACTGTGACTTGTCTAATTCTTCTGACACATGTATCTTCCTGGCTCAGTAAAGCCCACCACCAGCCCCTGGGCACGTCTCCTCTCCCACCCCCACATTCAGGACATGAACTCTTAATTGCAGGTGAATTGTGGCCATGCAGAGAAGTCTGTAACTCAGAATGGTAAACAAGTATCCACAGCACAAATAAAAGTACTGATTAAAATCAAAAGAAGTGGAAGATTAGAGAATTTCAACTTTCAGGGAAATAATAATTTTGGCAGGTGGAGAACAACAACAACAAATCCACAGCAGGGAACTCTGCTGATGGATTATAGAGAGTCGGAGTCTGTAACAGGTGTTTCCACATCAGTCTTAATGGAGTGCGGATGAGACTCTGAAGTAAAGGTGAGCCTCAGCAAACCAGAACGGGGACATGGCCTATCCTGGGATCCTTCATAGGAACTCTGGCCCCAGAGCTGTGTGCTCTGGAAGGATGCAGTGCACACACTTGTATAGCCACCACCTGCTTAGTCTAATGAGAGAGTTGTCTAAATATGAAGTCCATTCTACAAGTGGATTAGTTTTGCATTGTATCTACCTAGACAAATACACCAGTTTCAAAATGAAGGAAGATTTTAATTCAGTCAAACAGATTGAAGACAAAGACATAAAATAACAGTTGTTTTTATTTGTCTCCTCTCTGACTTTGCTTGTATTTCTAGACATATTTGGAGTTTTACTAACTGAAGTTCTCTCTGCTACCAATAGTTAAAAACAGAACAAAATAACCCAAAAGCCACTAAATGGTATCCCTAAATGGCACCACTGCCAAGAGTGAGTTAAGTGCACTGCTCTCACTCCCCAATTGTGGTAAAGTGACTGCTCCTTGGCTTTGATCTGGGACTTTTCTGGGTTGCTCCTGGCAGACCTCAAGAGTGACCCTTGGCTCTCCTGCAGGCTCACTATAAATGCAGAATGCCAGCTGCAGCTGCACAACTTCCCCATGGATGAGCACTCCTGTCCTCTGATTTTCTCCAGCTGTGAGTACCAACTTGGGTATAAATGCTGTGTAAAGGAATGTCTATCTTCTGTTGATTTATGGCAGATGGTCATGAGAGTGATTATAGCATCATTGTGCACAGAAAAAAGGGATAATGGTTTTGGTATTAGACACATGGGTGTTTTAACTCTATTGTTTGGATGTATGTTACAGAATAGGTAGCTTTGAAAAAGCTGTGAGCAACTTGACCATTACTTAGAATAATGAAAGAGTCAGAAATTGGTGAACAGTTGACTTACCAAAGACCCTTATGCTAATGAGCTGTGCATATTTGGAAGTATAAAAAATTCATTTGCAATATTTTTGGGTTTAATATCATCTTCAAGCAAGTTGTTTTGTTTTCTGAATAGAAAGATAAAAAATTTTATTTAAATATATTTATATTTGTTTTATTGCCATATTGTAGGATATAATTTCTTAGTATTTTATTTTCTAATATTTTATATATAATTAATATTATCTAACAAGTAATCATTCACAAATTCTTTAAGACAATGTCTAATACATACAGGGATACATATAAAAGGAAATATCAAATTTATGTGTATTCATAAAATAACTTTTTAAGTAAAGCTCAATACGGAAATATATCTGTAGAATTCAGGATAGTTCCTTTTAAATGTATTGATCACAAGTAGCTAAGTATAACTCATAAGAATTTAGTTAACTTTATTGGCTTTCTATAAAATTGCATGTGGAGCTTGACAAACAAATGTGATGAAATCTCAGGCAGAGGTTTTGTGGCTTCCCTCACCAGACATTATAGTGAAAAGACAAAAATGAAATAATAGATGAACACATTTTATAGTTCATTTTAGGTACAGAAAAAGGCAAGGTAGAAAGCATTTATTACTTTAAAAGTTATAGAACCATTCAAATAGTCTATTTCTCTGAGTCAGTTTGGTATATATGTATACAATTTTCCTAGTGACTTGTTCACTTCACTATTTATTAATGTTCTCAGTAAACCCAATTTAGCTATGTAGATCCTTCCAATGCTCTGATATGCTATTAATTCATCTATAACTACTATAACTATAATTATTACTACTACATAACTTTAATGGTTGTTTCTTATTATTAGACATCCTGTTTTTTGCTTTTTTCTAATTCTTTATGCAATTTGACAGCATCTCATTTCTTCACTAAATTCTTAATGTCATCTTCCACTTATTTAAATTTCCAAAACTTTCCGATATCTTTTTGGGAGCAATTTGCAGAATTTGTTGTTTTGTTTTACTTGGTTACATGGTAATTAATTTACTTTTCTGTTCAATAAGTAATTTACTCATTTCAGTTCATGTTTCTTGGATTTTTTTTCTGTGGGGTTTCTTTGAGGCTTACATTTAAAACAGGTTTTTCTAAGCAGGTTTTGCTCTGGCTCTGCCTGGTGTCTCTATAACTTTAAAGTTTAAACCTGGATTCCTGGGCTACATAGTTGGTGTGAATTCTAGCTACATGTCTGTGATTTCAGGCTGTGATTTTACATTCTTAGGAAAGACTTTTTTTGCTTTTCTGTTGTTCCCAGAGCCAAATCAGGACAGGGAATCTACTTTTAGGGAGAGTTTCTCCTGAGTCCACAAGCTGAGGTTATCTCCTTTCCCCGTGGTAGCAACACAAATGTCCATCAACAGATGCATGGATAAGCAAAAGTGGGAGAAAGGATAAAAGATCATGATCCTGCTATATACTGTCTATATGAGACACAATTTAGATTCAAAGACAAATCATTTGGAAGTGAAAGGATGAAATAAGATATATAATGCAAATAGTGGTGGAAAGAGAGTTGGATTGGTTATATTAATATAAGACAAAATATATTAAAGAAAACTGTTATTAGAGAAAGAAAAGGATGTTTATAATGATAAAATGTGTCAGCACATCAAGAAATTCACAGTAATAATAAACATGCATGCATCTAATAATAGAACATTAAAACACATAAAGCAAAAATTGACAGATCTGAAGGGAAAAACTGATGATTCAACAATAGTTAGGTACTTTAATAACTCACTTTTAAAAATGGATAGAAAAACTATAAATAGAAGGTCTATCAGGGAAACAGAAGACTTGAACAGTACTTCAAAGCAACCAGATCCAGTAGCTATCTATAGAATAGGCCACTGAACAACAACAAAATACACATTGTTCTTAAGTGCACATGAGACTTTCTGCAAGATAAGCCACATATCAGGTAATGAAACAAGTCAATAAATTTAGAATGATTGAATTAAGATTGCAGGATACAAGATCAATATACAAACAACATTTGCATTTCTATAAACTAGAAATTAAACCTTGAAAAGGAAAGTAAGAAAACAATTACATTTTCAAAAGTATCAAAAAGAATATAATACTTAAGAATGAATTTAACAAAATAAATTCAAGAATTGTATGTTGAAAACTATAAAAATGTTGTTGAAAGAAAGGAAAGAAGATCTAAGCAAATGGATAGGCATTCTATGTTCATGAACAGAGACTTAATGTTTTTAAGGTGGTAATGCTTTCCAAAATAATCTATAGATTCAGTACAATACTTATCAAAACCCCAGGTGGCTCTTTTTCCCTGAAATTGACAAATTGCTTCTAAAATTTATGGGGAAATTAAAGAAATCTAGAATAGCTAAAACAATCTTGAAAGAAAAACAAATTTAGAGAGCTCACACTTCTGATTTCAAAACTTACTACTAAGCTACAATAACCAAGACAGTGTGGTGTGGTGCTGCTATAAAGATGGATATACAGATATACTCAAATGCCCATCAATTGATGAACAGATAAAATTTGATGTATAACAGAATATAACTTCACCTTAAGTAGATTGGGAACAGAGACAAATCTCCCATGCAGAAGAACTCCAAATAATTTATATAGATATTCCACCTTCATGGAGGTAGAACATAACTTCTTACCCCTTAGGTCAAAGATGAGCATAGTAACTTCCTTCCAAGAAGTTTATAATGGAAAGGGATAAAATGAGGTATTTTATAGTGGAGAAAACTAACAAACACAACTTCAGCCAGGTGATTAAGGTCAATATCAACAGTTGTAAGTCATATTGATAGTATGTACCTTTATATGATGTGATGATAATGGCACTTTACCTCTGTGATCTCCCTCCTAAAAACCCATAACCCCCTTTTAATCATAAGAAAAACACCAGACAAATCCTAATTCTACAAAAACCTGAACAGTACTGTTCAGAACTGTCAATGCCATTGACAGAGCAAGGAATGTCTTTGAAACCATCATAGCCAATGTGGTATCTTGGATGGCATCCCAGGATAGAAAAAGAGCATTAGGGGCAAATGGATGAAATCTGAAAGAAGACTGGACATGAGTTAACAATAATATACCAATATTGGCTCATTAATTGTGGCAAATGTACATATTAATGTAAGATATTAATAATAGGGGAAACTGGGTGTGGTGTATTGGGAATTCCCTCTAGTATCTTTGTAATTTTTTCCATAAATTTAAACCTATTTTAAATTTCAGCATAGGAACAGTAGACAAAAACAAAATACAACCTAGAGAACGGGAGACGATATTTGCAAATGTCTTATCAGATAAAGGGCCAGTGTCCAAAATCTATAAAAAAAACTTATCAAACTCAACACCGCCCCAAAAATCTTATCTTCAAAAAGATAGAAATATGAGTAATCATACCGAGCTGGTATTATAGGTCCAAATCCTAAATAAAATTGGTCCAAGTTGCTGATAAATTAATACTTTAAGGGCTTAAGTGAAATAATAAGGTGAAAAATGACAAAACAAGATCCCATGCCTCTTCCTTCACTTCAGCAAAACAAACTTCTGAATTATGGGAAATTTCTGGAGACCCTGAGTCAGAAGTTCCAGCGTAGAGATCTCAGTGGTAAACAATCTTGTACAGTGGTTCTTACATATTTTGGGCTCACATATCACTATGAGAGTCTGAACAAACTTACGGTCCTTTATTCACACATTTAGATAATTTCACATGGTATTTTGCACCTCTCAGCTACATAATTTGTAGTCCAGAGTTTCAAAACTTCTCATCTAGTCCATCTTGCTCATGTGTAGATGAAGAAACAGAAACAGATGCTGTCACTCTCCTAGGTTAAGGGATTAGAAATGGGATCCTCTGACTTCTGGAAAGTGCTTCTTCCATTGTATCAAACTATTACTATTGATTAGTTACTATTGACTCTACCTCAAAAATGTCCCTGAACTTGTTCACTGCTAACTGTTTCCACCTGTTGGGTTTTTTCTCCCACTCTTATATTTCAAGTTCATTATATACATATATCCTGGCATTGGCTTACTAAAATATATATCTGTCTAAATCATTCCAGTACTTCTAACCATTCAAAATTCTTTCCCCTGGTGATGAGTATCAGACATGAATGCTTTACCATAACCAACAAGATTCCTCCCTCCCTCTCTAACTTCATTTCTTTCCACTCTCTGTCTTGAAAGTGCATGCTTTACTATTCCTTTTATGGATGTTTATCTCTTTTTCACTCAAAATATAGCTCTATACAACACTAATCTATATCCTTTATATTTTCATTTTACCAAACTGTAAACTAAGGCATCCTCAATAGCTTGTGTATAGATCAATTCAAACACAAAGATTTAGTATCTATGGATTTTACTCATAGAATTTTAATTGCATGTTCCAAACCAAAAATAGTTTATTCTACAGTTTTTAGTTATATGATTTAATGATATTTCACCTGCAGAACAACACATATGGAAAGAATAAAATATAGTCATTGTGAGTAGAATGGAAGCCTCTAAAGAGGATCATAATCATCATGACAATAAGATCATCCTCCATATTCCTTTATGGTTACTTGATGAGGAGGGATGTTTGTTAGCTCTTCTAGCACTCCATGAGCCCCTCATTCAGTAGAGTAGCTATGTGCTTGGTGAGAAATGGCATCTGGTGGCTAATGTCAGTGGTGCTTCACTTTACTCAATTTCATGAGAAGT